ATAACTAGAATCAATTATAGGAAAATTCTAATTTAATTCTTTAAATATTTCGCGCACAATTACCCCGGGAATCGATAGTTCGCATCTCCAACACTCGAGTTAGTACCGTACGGGGCTAATCNTTGTGGATAAGCTACCTTATTCCAGTCGTAGATGGAGTGAAGATCCGCTCATCCATCTCAGTTTCACGTTGAGTTCAAATAATTACAGTTTTGTTCAGTTAAAATAACTAGAATCAATTATAGGAAAATTCTAATTTAATTCTTTAAATATTTCGCGCACAATTACCCCGGGAATCGATAGTTCGCATCTCCAACACTCGAGTTAGTACCGTACGGGGCTAATCTCCCCCAGACTCCCCACCACTACGCAACAGGCCCGAGCGGACACACGCGATAGTCGCCATTACAGTATCCACCCAGACGACCAAGAGTGAGGTACGCGTCGATTTAGCTCCCGGAAAGAGTTCTCTTTTGAGGTAAGTATCGCGGCCCCGTGACCAAAGTTCCGTCGAATTCAACGCTCCAGACTAGGGTAAGTACTCGTGTACTTATTTAGAAGTGATTGAAAGTGAATTAGTGCGGTTTTTCGTAAAGGAAATTGGACCACGTGGGAGGGCGTCGCTACCTTGCGACAGGACGCCAGTGTTGAGATACATGATTTGAGGGGTAGAAAACCCTTCAAACGAACCCAAATGCTCCCTGGAAGCTACCTGAAATTATCTAATTAATAATTATGCTACCTGAATAGATCAAAATATTAATAATGCTACCTACCATAACGTTTGTGCAGAAACTCATGCTTTATGCATCTCGTTACGACGATTGATGCAACTCGCTACCTGCCTCATTGCTACCTTTTTGTTTGCTACCTTTTCTCGCTCTCTTTACGTAATTATTCTACGCTACCTATTTCTTTATATTTCTCCAACTCACAAGAGTTCTGGAGGAAAAATTATGCTACCTGAATTGTTCTTAAGCTACCTTTTACGCGTTTTAATGCTCTCTAGCGTTCGTTGAGTTTTGGATTCCGGTTGGGCATGGGGACGCTATCTTTCTAGTTATCTTTACTTTTATGGTTGGAATCCAGAACAAGAAAATTATCTAAGCTCTCTTACGTTCATTAATAAGCTAACTATTATTTTAGAAATCATTGGAGACCGTCAGCTACCTATTTTCATGGAGAAAACCTCCATTTCCGGGCTAGAAATGCTCTCTTCCGGTAAATCAGCAACGTGGCTGATTCCAGCTCCCTAGCTCATTTTGCTACCTTTTCGGTGCATGAGATTCCCGATTTTAATGCGTTACAAATGGCGTAGGGATTAAGAAAACCATTACAAGGGCGCTCTAGAAATTGAAATCCGATTAATTACAGTCGAAAATAGGAAAAACTAGTAGATTCTCGTGAGCTCTCTGTTTATTTCGCGTGGCTACCTCATCTGTTCTGTCTCGCACGTACGCTACCTTCCTATAGTCTCTCTCTCTCGGATTCGTGTTCCCCTCGTGGACAATACTTTTGCTTCTCTCTATCAACTTTGGATTGGGATCGCTTTCTTTTTCATACTTAAAATTTTTATTCGCATATTTTCGAGTATTTTGGAGTTTGATGGATCATTTCCGAGTATTCACAATTACTTTGAATCACACTGATGTAATTTTGTACTTGTACGAATTTACGATTTTGTATTATCTCGGCAATAGCAAAACACGTCAGTACAATTATGTTTATTATTCAATATCGACCTTACCTATCCCGTTTAGAATTTAAGACATTGGTTTATTGGTTTCTCGATCGATGATTGGCTTTGTTAATTGATGTTCTCGTCCACGAATCCACCCCTCTCTCCACGACCCGCACACTGAGCAGCCGAGTAAATCCCGTACCCTCGTAATCCACATTTCTGCGTATGGTTTGTGATGTTTCTAGTCGTTATTGGATTTTTGGGGACAATCAGTATTTGGTTGTAAGAAAATACGGTTCCGTTTGCGGTTTGTCGATTCCGCGTTGCTAAAAATCGGCTGGGGCCCTAAATACACGAAGTAAGGTTTGGATGAGCTGCTGATTGTTCCCGGAGTCAAGTTTTAGCGTTATGGTTTTTGGCGTTTCAGACTTGTCGGATTACGAGAACGAAGGTAATGAGTTGGCCGTGTTTGGATAATCGAGAATTTTGGGTTAGGACTTATTGTGTATTTGTTGAGGCCAACGAAAAATCATTACACATTATTAATTTAAACCAATTGTATTCCTTTTACGAATTGAACTCATTCAATTATTTCTTCCAATTTATTTTATCCTATTCAACTATTTATGAAAATTCATTTTTGTTTCTTTAGAAATTATGGTTGGTTTTCTTTAGTAAACTCATTCAATGCTTCTTCAATTCAAATCTTTATGAATTTCATGAACGAAAATTCATGAATTTCAAGTTCATTTTTCTTTTATCTGAACAATGAAAATTCAATCTGCAGGGTGTACCTTTATTGGTGGAAAATCTCCCTTTCCCCAACGTCAAATGACCTTCTAAATCCAGCAAAAATACAAAAAAAAATATTTATTTAGCCGATTTTTGTATAATTAATAATTAATGTGGGCCAATGAGAGGGTCGGGTTATGGCGCGCAGTAGTGAGTGGGGGAGTTCGAAGAATGAACGGCAATACTGCGTTAGAGTCACGCCGGAAGATGCGTGAGAACAGTTGAGTCGCTGTTCTCTCGTCGATTTCGGGTGAAGGCGGAAATGTTGAAGTGAGCTGCGAGATGGTGCGCGTATGCAGTTTTCGGATTCAATTGAATTTATGTACAAGAGAGGTGAACGGAACAAGATAATGTGTACCCCTGGAAATTTAGGGGACACGTTACATGTACGGTATAGCGTAGATGTAGCGTAGATGAGGGTAGATGAGCATTTTTGGGGCTAAAAAGCATGAAAATGATCGAAATAAAGTGGAGTAATGAATGTGCAGTTAATTACTAGAAGATTAGTGTCAGCTATCACTTCATAATTGAGTTTTTTTGATGAATTTGAAGAAATTACTGCTAGTGTACTAAATGACACTAGAACGTCGTGTGGGTCGGTAAAGTCAGCAGCACAGCAGCAGTCGCAGGCCAGCCGCTTGCCAAATGAGTTGACAGTGGGACAGCATTCGCCGGTTTTTTAATTAATTTTTTAATGATTAATCAAACAATTGATTTTTGATGTGTCATGCTCAGTGGGCGCACGGGGAACGGTGGAATTTTTGGTTCTTCGAAGATGGTGCCAGGGGTGAGGGGAATTACTTTTCTGACCCTTAATCGCACTGCGCGAAGTCCACGGGAGGAAATTTTTTTTGACCCTTCTGACCCTAAATCGCATTGTGGGAAGTATGAGCGTGGGGGGACTTTTTTTCTGACCCTTCGGACCCTAAATCGAATAGCGAAGGATCCGAGGGGGGTGGGCTTTTTTTTCTGATCCTTTAGACCCCAAATCGGAATGTGGTGGATGCAAGGGGTGAGGGGAATTTTTTCTGACCCATCTAACCCTAAATCGTATAGTTGAGGGTGCGATGAGAGGGGAGGAAAGATTTTTTTTACCCTTCTGACCCTTAATCGCATTGTGGGGAGTCCAGGGTGGGGGAATAATTTTTTTTTACCTTTTTGACCCTAAATCGCAATGCGGGAAGTCCACGGGAGGGGGCAATTTTTTTTACCCTTCTGACCCTAAATCGCATTGTGGGAAGTCCAACAGGGGGGAGGGGATTTTTTTTTTACCCTTCTGACGCTAAATCGAATTGCGAAGCGTGCGAGGGGTGGGATTTTTCCTGATTCTTCTGACCCTCAATAACATTGTGGTAAGTCCAAGGGTGGGGGTAGTTTTTCCTGACCGTTCTGACCCTTAATCGCATTGCGGGAAGTCCACGGGGCGAGAAGTTTTTTTGACTCTTTTGACCCTAAATCGCATTGTGGGAGGTCCAAGCGTGGGGGGCATTGTTTTCTGACCATTCTCATCCTAAATCGAATAATGAAGAGTCCGAGAAAGGAGCTTTTTTTCTGACCCTTCAGACCCCAAATCCGATTTCGGTAGATCCAAGGGGTGAGGGAAAATTTGTTCTGACCCATCTGATCCTAAATCGGATAGTTGAAAGTGTGATGAGAGGGGAGGGGGATTTTATTTGACCCTTCTGAGCTTTAATCGCATTGTGGGAAGTCCAAGGTGTGGGGGGTAATTTTTTTTTAACCTTCTGATCCTAAATCGCATTGCGATGGGTACGTGGGGGCGGGAGGATTTCTCCTGATCCTTCTGACCCGCAATCACATTGCGGTAAGTCCAAGAGGGGTGGAGTAATTTTTTCTGATGCTTCTGACCCTCAATCGAATAGTTGAGGGTGCGATGAGACGGTAGGGGGATTTTTTTTACCCTTCTGACCCTTAATCGCATTGTGGGAAGTCCAAGGTGGGGGGGGGGGATTTTTATTTCTGACCCTTCGGATACTAAATCAAATTGCGAAGGTCCGAGGGGTGGGCCTTTTTTCCGATCCTTCAGACCCCAAATCGCATTGCGGCGGATGCGAGGGGTGAGGGGAATTATTTTTTTGACCCTTCCGACCATAAATCGGATAGTTGAGTTTTCTGGGGGTGGGATTTTTTTTGACCCTTCTGACTAGGGCTGCCCACGATACCGAGACCGGTACCGGTCTCGTCTCGTATCGTCTCGGTTTTATGCACCGATACCGAGACGATACCACGTCCAGAAGTTTCGAGACGATACCGAGACGATACTCATTTAAACAGGAGTCTCGACGAGACCTACGACGAGAGTCTCGACGAGACTGAAGCATTTTTCGTTCCCCTCTTCCTTTGAAAACAGCGAGCTATGCGGATACGGCGACTAGAAGTGGCGCCCTCACGTAATATCATAAGATACAAGCAGTGGAATTATGTTTCCAGAATTTCTCTGTAGAGGGGCCCTCTAGGAGGAGTAACGGTTGGAACTCAGGTGGCGTTCCATCGGCCCCGAATAGAATAATCCCGTGGGTACCGAGGTAAGGCTCCAGTGAACTAGTTTTCTGATAGAAAGCAATGATCTTTCCATCGACAAGTTGATCAATGAGATTGTCACAATGTCCCATTGAGATAAAGCACCCAATAATCCCTCGAAAAAAAGACGAGTTGACCAAAATTCTTCACCTAACCTCAATACACATGCAGAGGAAGATTCAACGACTGACAATCCTGAAATTACTCCAGAGGATGCCACAGTTAACGGTAATAAAACATCGAGTTCAAAATTTCAAAAATTCTTCGATTTTAAAACGCTTGACAAAGAGGATGTGGGTGTTTGTCTGGAGTGTAGGAAGAAGAAAATTGAGAAAGTGGTCAAGAGGACAGACTGGAATACATCAGGAATGAGGAAACATCTGAGAGCTTGTCATAATAAAATATATAAGGAGGATTTTGGGGTGAAAGATTCAGCTGAGTGTGGACAGAAGAAAATCGACCAGATGTTTTCCGAGGTTAGTTTGCAATATTACTAGAAAAAAAGGCTGAATGAAAGATAATTAGTTTAGGAACAAAGTGGTGGGATGAAATTGAGAAATTGTTCACATCGTTTTTAAGGACAGAATGTGGTATCGGTGAGTAATATAGAGCTAGAATGTCAATCAATTTTTTGGAATAAATTCTAATGGAAAGAGTCTTCTGTTGTCTTGTCTAAAAATAACTTATTCGCGAGATAAATAGTCAGAAAGAAAAGTTATTAGGGGCGGGGAGGGTACGGCAAATGGCCTAGATGAGCGGAATAGCTCGAAGGGCAAAATAGACTTCTAGAGCAAAATGGACCCCCCTGAAAAAATTGGATACTTTTCCTTTCATAATGATTCCATCAACTATTTGTAATTTATTTTCGAAATAAACATGACAAATATAGTTGAAAGCTATGGAAATCGATATGAATCCTGGATTCCAGAATTGGAATTTGATAAAAAAAATGAATGGGAACGGTAAATTTTAGTTCAATTATTCCATAAAAATGACTAAAAAACAAGAGAATCCAGATGAATATATTGTTAAACTTTTAGTTAATCAGAGATTCTGCGATATTTGGTAACGAATATCCATTTTTTGATTGAAATTTCAAATAAATTGAGGAGTTTCCTTCTTCTGCTGTTCAAAAATTTGAAATTTCATTGGGATTTCAGTGAAATTCGAAATTGTATGGGTTTTTCCACTCTGAAGGAATTTCATATCGTCTTCTTGGAAATGACTATGGAACTGTTCGTGAAAATTATTTTTTTTTCTAACAGTCTTATTGTGGAAATAAAAAATGAAAATCAAATTTAAAGTTTTTGTATCTTATACAACGTTTTCACGTCACATTTTACTTTCTCCCGTTACGCTTGACCCTCATTACCCTTAAAAACTTGGAAAAAGAGTCAAACCCTAGTGAATTTTTCATATTAAATTCAAATAAAATAAGTTTTTTTTTCTTCCTTGAATAAATTATTCTCTCGTGTTAATTTTATACCCTCTCATTATCAATTCTAAAAAATTCTGACTCTGAATCAACCGAAATTTCAATGATTTATTTGAGGCATTTTATTTTCTAGAATTGACACTGTCTAGACATTCAGATTTTCATAACTCAGTAGCGAAGCGTTAAAATGGTTTGAGTCGATTATAACCATTGGTCGGTTTTCAATGATTATCTTGGAATTGACAGTAGATGGCAAAATTCTGAATAGGACTTTTTTTGGACAGCAAATTGAGGGCTACAAATAATTTCGCCATTTCCCGTAGATTCAGAAATATTTCTCGAAAACTCACCGAACAGCTGAGTCGACTTGAATCATTTCACTGCTTCGCTACCGAATTCATATTTTTCCTCCATCTACCCTTTATTCCGGCGATATTCTTCATATTTTTAATATATTCATCATAAATGTTACTGTTGAGAAAAAAAATTGGAGGGTCCATTTTACGCTTCGGTCTATTTTTCCCGCTCAGACCATTTCACCCTACCCTTCCGTATCTACTAAAAACCACTCCATTAATTAGTGACCTTTTTTAACGTACTTTTGTTTATTGGTAAATTTTTTTCCTCTATGATAGAAAAAAACATCCTCTGAATACTGGACTCCGAAAATCATCCATTGGATAGCTCGGAGGACTTTGCCATTCAGTTTTTTCGATGATGAGGAGACTCAAGCTATGTTCGGAGAGCTCAATCCACATGTGAAGATGCCACGACGCACAGCAGTACGTCGAAATACGATTACAGAATTCCAGAAGATCAAGAACAACGTGAAGAAACTTTTAGAAAATAATAAATCCAAAGTGTCGTTCACGATTGATGGCTGGACCAGTATTAATTCTCGCTCATACTACGGTGTAACCGCCCATTATATTGGGTCTGACTGGCAACTTCACTCTTTGACCTTGGATTTCATCCCAGCTTGCGGATCACACTCTGGATGGGCCATCGCTGAAATGTTTTTCAGATGTATTGAAGATTATGGACTTCAGGAAAAAATTGCTGCAATCACCGTTGATAACGTAGCTGCTAATAGAACATTCATGAATGAATTTAGCAAGGTGATGGAGGTTGCAGGTTTCAAGTTTGATCCGGTCAACCAGCATTTCAGGTGTTTTGCTCATATCTTGAATCGGGGGGTCCAAGACATTCTGAAGTAACTCAAAGTGGAAGAGATTTATGAAAATGACGATCAAGCTGTCGGCATTGATATTTTCGAGGATGAGGATGAAAATGAAGCACCAAATCATTGCACATCTGATGTGGATGGTTCCTCTTCCGATACTGATTTTTCTGATGACATTTTGGATGATCTTAGTCCCTCAACAGCGATATCCAATTGTCAGAATGTATCACAGTTCAGAATGAGTGATGACGAGTGCTCTCTTCTACTGCAAATCCATCAATTTTTGAGGGATTTTAAGAAGATATCTGTTGCTCTTGGAGGCCAACACTATGTTACTCTTCCCCTTGTGATAGTTGCGTTCAACCTTCTCGTAAATAGAATTGAATCAACCATTTTTTTGGATACGAAGCCTGACAGAATCAAAGTGGACGAAATCCTATTGCTCGCCTTCCGAGCTAGTCGCGACAAAATGCTAAAACACTATCGGAAAACTAACTGGCTGTATTGTGCTGCCCTCATTCTCGATCCACGTCATAAAGTTGAAACGTTTTCCCTTTCTGAATAGGGTAAGGAAATGGGAAAACCCTCTGTCGAATTCTTCCAATCTGTGTACATAGAAGCATATGTCAAACCTCTTGAGAATACAAACGTGATTGTACCTGGGGAGATTGAGGGGAATAATCCAATGACTCAAGCAGAACAGATTGATGATTGCAATATGATTGATCTCAATTGTCTTTTTGAGGATTCTGCAGTATCAAAAGATTCGAAGGATGAATTTGTCCACTAATCACTGAGACGCGCTAATAAGCATCAGAACATTTTGGAGTGGTGGAAAGATCACGAGCATGCTTTCCCTACATTAGCAAGAATGACTAGAGATGTCTTCAGCATCATGGCTACATCAATACCAGCTGAGAGATTGTTTTCCCTTACAGGATTAGTGGTCACGAAGGCAAGAAATTCACTTAAAGATGAGTCAATTCTTGCGGTACTGTGCTTACGCTCTTGGGGGACTTCTGACGTGAAAAAAGAGCTTGGAATTTAACTGTTATGCAGATTTATAAACATAAGCAGCATTGTTTTAAGTTAAGAAAAAAGAATACTATTTTATAAGTAGGACGGTCATTACTTATCCTAAATATTTCAAAGAAGAGCAAAAATAAAGAAGATATATGCTAGTTCAATAATATTTTATTTTTTTAAACCCTCATGTGTTTTCCGTTCTTATCGTTCATGTGGAGTATCGTTGAAACTGGAGTATGAAATTACATGTAAAAACACCATTCTGTTCTTTTTGTTTTTATTTTTTTTGTTTTTTATTTTTTATTTTTGTTTTCAATAAAAGTGGGTTAATTGACCGAGACCAACGAGACCGACGAGACGAGACCAAGCTTCATTTTCCGAGATTAGAACGAGACGGAGACGAGACGAGACTGAAGCAAACGAGACTGAAGCGAGACCGAGATGATACTAAAAATTTCCAATTTTTCCGAGACCGAGACAAGACCTTCCATAATCTCGTCTCGTCTCGTGGGCAGCCCTAATTCTGACTCTAAATCGCATTGCGGTAAGTTCACGGGGGGGGGATTTTTTTGACCCTTCTGACCCTAAATCGCATTGTGGGAAGTTCAACGGGGGAAGGGGGGGGGGATTTTTTTGACCCTTCTGACCATAAAGCATTCTGACCAGGGGGGGGGAATTTTTCCTGATCCTTCTGACCCTCAATCAGATTGCTGTGGGTTCGACGATGGGGGGAGGGTTGGCCATTCTGGCCCTTAATCGCATTGTGGAAATTCCAAGGTGGTGGGGATTTTTGTTTCTGACTCGTCTGACCCAAAATTGATTTGCGAAGCGTGCCAGTTTGGTAAATGTTTTTTAACGAACTCAACGTTGTAAGGAAATCAATTTTTGTAAGATTCAAACGGGATAAATTTAAAAAAGAAAGAAAAAGACCGCCAAGAATGCCAAAAAACTGCCATCAGCAGATCCAACCAAGAACGATAATCAACTTGATAATAACACCTGTTTTATCGATAATTTCGTCAGATTCGCATATAACGACCAAAATTTTGATTGGCTAATGCCAAGACACATGGATATAGGCCACGAGTCGAATACTGACCATGACTCGGCCTCATTTCTCCGCTGGCCATGACAAGATAAGTATCTCGCTCTCGTAGTTCCCATTTCTAACCTTAACCTCGTGCTAATTGAACCTATGGTCGATTATAAAATGCACTTTATGGGTTTTGTCACTAATGTCTAGACATTGTAATTGTTGCGCAACATCTTATAAATTATCATTATCGAGAGTGAGAGAAAATATCGAGTCGAATAATAGAAATTGAGCATTTATTAACTGAAAATTTTTCCAGAGCACGTGCTCACATTCTTGGTTGGTTTTATGAGTGACGACTCAATTAATTATTTCTGGGGAATTTAACGAAGGGCAAATACTAATTATTATTGTTTGTGTCATCTTATATATTTAATTGGGCTATCTATATATATATGTGATTTTCTTTTGGGATATTTTTATATGCGAAGATTATGAAGATGATAATGGAGATATGATATATTTAATGGTATATAAATAGAGGTTATAAAATCGTGATATTGATAACTATTCCCGATAAAGGTGAAACATATTTTTTATTTTTGTCGTTTGTTAAAATTTTATGATGGTTTATTTATAAGAACGTTGACGCAATACTCTGAATGAAGATTGATAGGTTATGAAAGAATATACCGATAATTTGTTGAGGAATAATGAGTAAATGAGAAGAATAGCATATTGAAATATTTTTTTCATATAAATTAACGATAATTGATTAAAGGATAATAATTAAAACAAT